GTTAGGGAGGGAATAAAACCCCTTAACTAAGTGCCAGGCGGGTAGTTAATCACTTTAACTACGAACAATCGTGCTTAAGCTACATAATCTTTACTCCCTGGAATGGAGATAAGAAACGCCCTAACCTTTGGAATAGAGATTGATAGGATTGAATCAACTGGTATAAATACAGATGTAACAAGACAACAGACACAGAACCTAGACACAGAACCTAGACACAGAACCTACACAGAACCTAGAGACAGAACCTAGCGAGAGAACATGGCAGAAACTGGCAACAGAACCTAGAGACAGAACCTAGAGACAGAACATGGCAAAAGATCCTGGACAGAAACTGGCAACAGAACCTAGAGACAGAACCTAGCAAGAGAACCTGGCTGAAGAACCTAGAGACAGAACCTGGATAGAACATGGCAAGAGAACCTGACTAGAACCTGGTGACTGATCCTGGCTGGAGAACCTAGCGAGGGAACATGGCTACAGAACCTGGCTGGAGAACCTGGAGAACCTGGCTGGAGATCCTAACCAGAACTTCGCTGGAGATCCTGACCAGAACTTGGCTAGAGATCCTGGCTAGGCTGCTGATCAACTGAACGCTGTTTCCGTGTCATTCCTTCTTCGCCGACTCCGTCCACACCTTTGGGGACCCCTGGACCTGCTGGGGCTGGACCCCAGCAGAGGGGAGCATCCTTCCCAACCTAGAATCCCACGCCCAGCCCCCTCTCAGGTCGGGGTAGGTGACAGGCGTCTCCACATGCACAGCCAGACCTCGACCTACTACGCGCCCCTCCGCGGGAGGCTCCGTGGGGTGCCGGGAAGACACTTCGAGGAGGGAGGACGCCGACGGGCTGCTGGTGTTCTCCGCAGGATGAAGAGAAGTTTTGCGATTCTGGCCGAGGGTTCGAGAATGAACTGCTGACAGACGCATCGAAAACCAGCAAAACGTAAAGGCGATTCCTAACCCCGGGAAAACGAACGGTTGCCTTAGGAGACCACGGGGTTTCCGTAGCGACGGAAAGTGGCGTGATGTTCGCCTGAGTGGGAACAGCGCGCAGTGAGCCCGGGATGGCACTGCAACGCCCGGAGGGGATCGGGCTGGGACAGGGCTGCGGGCACGAACTCTTATCTCGCCCTCCATCTCGGGCAGTCGCTGCGATGCTAACATGGCAGAGGCGAGGAATCGGCAGCACGTGGTGTGGGTACGCGGGCGGCTGAGAGTGGGGTGCCTCTGGGGTCGGGAATCGGGGGTGGAGAATGCAGCACCGGGAGAGCTCACGCAGGCTTGCTTGCTGGTGGCCGGAAAACTCCAGAATGGAGGGAGGGACGGATGGGGAGGCAGATGGGGAGGCGGATGGCCTGGGGGGAGGAGGACATGGCGCTGGGGGGGGGGGGCATTGGAAAGAGCGGGAAGGTGGGTGAGGAGCAGGAGGGGCAGCCGTCCACGCTGCCCCCGTGTGTGGCCTGTGGAGCCCTCTGGGTGGCAGGGGCTGGGCTGTACGGGACAGGGCGGTGGGGAGGGAGGAGGGCTCACCGGTGGGTGTCCCAGCCCCACCTGAACTCGGGTGACACAGAGACCTGGGCTCCTGCCGGTGGTCCCCCGAGCTGTGACCTGAGTGGTCAGAAGGATGGGCTCTAAGGCCCAGGCCCGATGCGGGCCCCCAGGCTGCAGACCACACAGAGCTGCCCACAGCTGCACCACCACCCCCCCCCCGGGCCCTGGAGACCCCACAGGGTGCTGCTGGGGAGTCCTCAGCCCCCGACCCCCACTGGGCACGGCCCCGGGACCCTGGCTGCGCGGCCGCCCCCGGCGTGAGCTCTGAGGACAGTGAGGGGTCAGCGGCAGCTCCTCACCGGCTCCTGGGTGGGGGGTGGGGGATTGGGGGGCCGGAGGGCATGGGGCCGGGTGTCTCTCTGAAGGGCTTCTATGTTTTAGAGACAATGTTTTCCAGGAACACTCACATTTCGTGCAAAACCTTGAAAACTGGCCAATTTAAAAACAAGAACTCCTGCCCTGGCCGGTCCGGCTCAGTGGATGGAGCGTCGGCCGCAGACTGAAGGGTCCCGGGTTCGATTCCGGTCAAGGGCACGGACCTCGGTGGCAGGCTCCTCCCTGGCCCGGGCCCTGGTCGGGGCGCATGCAGGAGGCAACCAATCAGTGTGTCTCTCTCACATCGATGTTCCTCTCTGTCTCTCCCTCTCTCTTCCGCTCTCCCTAAAAATCAGTGGGAAAATGTCCTCAGCGGAGGATTCAGAAATGAATAGAAACAAGAGCTCCTGCTGGGCAGAGCGCACTGGCCGGGCAGAGGGAGACGGTGGGCGCTGCCTGGGTCTGGGCAGCGGGGGAGGGGTGTCCAGGAGGTGTGTGCCTTGGGGTGCCCGTCAGTGGGGTCCTGCCTGGCTCGCTGTGACGTGGGGATGTTCGCAGCCACATGGTGGGCCGGGCGGAGGATGAAGTGAGCGCCGAGCTGGTACCCAGGCATGCTGAGCTGTCACGCGTGTCCCCATGCGTGTCCCTGTGTGTGTCCCCGTGTGTGTCCCCGTGCGTGTCCCTGTGCGTGTCCCCGTGTGTGGCCCCATGCGTGTCCCTGTGCGTGTCCCCGTGTGTGGCCTCATGTGTGTCCCCGTGCGTGTCCCCGTGTGTTTCCCCGTGTGTGTCCCCGTGCGTGTCCCTGTGTGTGTCCCCGTGCGTGTCCCTGTGCGTGTCCCCGTGCGTGTCCCCGTGAGTGTCCCCGTGTGTCCCCATGTGTGTCCCCGTGCGTGTCCCCGTGTGTATCCCTGTGTGTGTCCCCGTGTGTGTCCCCGTGCGTGTCCCCCGGCGTGCCCGCTCCGTGTCCCCCGGCGTGCCCGCTCCAGAGCCTGGAACCCCCCTCCCGGCACCCCCAGTGCAGCTCCAGGCTGGCATCCTGCTCCGCCCAGCATGCATTGCTCCTGAGAGCGGCCGGGCGGCCACTGGTCCAGACAGGGCCCTGGGCTGGTTCGCAGGGACCCGGGCTCCCTCCCCGCGAGCCCCAGGCCTGGCGCCCTGCCTCCCGCCCGCGATCTCGGCCTGGCCCGGCCGGCACACGCAGCGACCGCCATCGGGCGGAGCTGGGACCGGGCGGAGCGGCTCTGCCCGCATTTCTCCTGAGACTCGCGTTCAGGACCCTCGTTTGGAAACAAGCTCATAACCGCCTGGGCCGTCGCCGGGGTGTGACCGTGGCCCCGGGGCCTCTCGCTGGCCGTGCCCCTCCCTGCTTGGCTTTCTCCCCTCCGAGGGCGGCCGCGTGGGCTGACGGGTGGCTCGGGGCGTGGAGGCAGGAACAAGGCACTCTCCGGCTGCAAATCATGACATGATTCCAGGTCCCCCCGCGCCCCCCCGCAGCTCCTGGGCCCACGGCCGTCCCGCCGCCCACGGGGTCCTGTCACTGTGCATGTGAGGTAGGGACAGTCTGTGCTCAGGGCCGGAGGGTGAGAGGAGTTCGGGGATCCTCTGAGCCCCATGAAGGCCCAGGAGAGGCTGCCCCCCATATCCGTGGCCCAGGACCCGCCCAGCAGAGGGACTCTCAGGCCGCCCACAGGCCAGCCACAGAGCCCGGGCTCCCCCCAGGCCCCACCCCAGAGAAGGGCTCCCCTGTGGACCGTCTCCCTTCACCCTCAAGACAACCGCTGAGGGCAGAGCAGGAGGGGAGGAGGCGGCAGCCCCAGACCAGCCCGACCACGGCTCAGGCCACATCTTTGCTGTGGGATCAGCCACTGAGGGAACCGGGACGAGGCCGTGTGTGCTGGGCAGAGGCCACAGCAGGGCCTGGGGCTGGGCAGGGCCGGGCAAACTCAGGACAACCAGAGGCCGGGGGGCAGCAGGCAGCCCCTGGGCGGTCAAAAGGGGGCACACCTCAGGGTGGGGCTGGGAGGCTCCACAGGGCTTGACCCACCCTGTGTCCCCCACACCTCCTGCCCCCCAATAGGGACTGTCACCTCGAGGCGGCCCTGGACTGCACCTCTTCAGCCGCGCCCAGCAGCCCCACTCCTGCCCGCATCCCGGCCCCGCTGCTCCCTCCCCCCAGAGCGCCCCCGTGAGCCCTCCGTACCCATGTGCGCATCTGGAGGCCTCAACAGATGTTCAAGTGCCATAAAGTGAAAATTTATGAAACCACAAACTTCTTCTGTAGTGTGTTCGGTGCATTAATTGGTGCCAAACCAATCGATGCTCGGAGCTGGGCCTGCGCAGGGAGGGGCGGGAAGGGCCAGGGGCTGCGGGGCCCAGGGAGCCCAGGTGGACCCCAGAGCCTGGGCCCCCCGTCACACGCAGGCCTCCCAGGGCAGGAGCAGGCAGTGGGGCTGAGGGGCCGGCCCAGCTGCAGGGGGAGCCCCGGGGTCCCAGGCAGGGAGAGGGACAGGGTTTGGGGGTGAGCATGGCTCCCCACGGCCTCCCCCTCGCTCACCTCCTGAGCCCAGCTCAGACCCCTGCCCGTCCCCTCCCTGCCCAACACTGTGTCTTCCCAGCATGGAACCGGGGTGGGGGCTGTGGGGGTGCGTGGGCAAGGCCCTTCTCCTGGTGCAGGGGAGGGGGGGGCATGGTATAGACCTCAGTTGAGGTCTCCAAACGGTTCTGCAGAGAACGGGGTGCGGGGCAGCGCCTGGGGGGCTGAGGGCGTGGCCCCGGGCCCAGGGAAGCCCTCCCTCCCCTCACAGCCCTCCCGCACCAGCTCTGTCCGGGTGAAGCGAAGATGAGGCCCCTCTGGCCTGGGGACAGGACCGTGGACGTGTGACTGTCCCCACTGGGCCAGGCGGTCTCACCCGGTGCGGGCAAGAGGCAGAGCCCACGCCAGCCTTCGAGCCTTCGTGCTGGCGCAGGATGGGTCACCTGGTCTCCGCCTCCGGGAAGGCATTCAGACGGAGGGAGGGGCGAGGGCTCCCTGGCCCAGGTGTCCACACAGTGCAGACACGCGTGCCCAGGCCGCACACGCTCCCCGCGGGAATACAGGGCCACTGACCACGCTCCTGCGCTCTTGTCCCCGCAGGTGACGCAGCTGGACCAGAGGCTGGTGCTCATCACAGACCTGCTCCAGCAGCTCCTCTCCCTGCACCAGGGCGGCCCCCCGGGCGGCCGGCCCCCCGGCGGAGGCGGGGCCCACGTGCAGCCCGGCCGGGGCCCCCTGGACCCCCAGCTCTTCCTGCCCAGCAACGCCCTGCCCACCTACGAACAGCTGACCGTGCCCCGCAGGAGCCCCGACGAAGGGTCCTGATGGGGGCCTGGGGCCTGAGCGGGGAGGCCCGGAGGACCCCCCCACGGCCTGCCCCACCTCCCACGCAGCAGGGGCACCCGGCCGGCCACCTCCTGGGAAGTCCCGTGGGCAGCCCCTCTCTCCCAGGCCCTGGACACCCTGTGACCACGCTGCCACCGGCCTGGGCTGGGGGCGGGCGCCCCTCTCAGCTCGAACTGTGGCCCCCATTGCTTGCGTGGTGGTTGGGACCGGGTGGCCGGGGTCAGGCGGGCCCTCGGAGCAAGGACCCAGGCACTCACCTGCTCCCAGGTACGGCAGGAGGGCAGGTGGGCAGCCCAGGGCGCTTCCCGGGTGGGGGGGGGCGGGGTTTGAGGGACCGCCTAGACGGCACCTGTGGGTCCCACACCCCCGCCCTGGCAGCCAGGGCCCAGGGAGGAGACAGGCAGGGCAGGGCGGGCCCAGCCTCTGCCAATCAAAGGATGCCCATGCGCCCGCTCAGAGGGCCAGGCCAGGCCCTGAGCCTCGGTCTCTGAGAGGCGGACGGGACGGCCCGGGACTGTGAGGAGCCGATCCTGAGGCCGCTCCGAGAGGCGGGACCGGCCGCTGTCCCCCGACGCTGCACGGGGGCAGAATGTCCACCGGCGAAGGGGGGTGGGCGGCCCCCACTGTGGACCGGCAGCTTCTCCCACCCGTGCCAGCAGCCGCGGCCCCGGCCCCCGCCCTGCGGAGCAGCTGGGCGAACGCACACGGCGCCGCCCGGGCCCCCGGACCCGGCTCCTCGGGGCGTCCCGGCTCCTCAGGGCGACCCGGCTCAGGAATCAGGGTGATTTGTGGTGATTCGGAGTCTGTTTTAATGAGCTTCACGGTGTGATTTTGATTCTCTCTCTGCCGGCTTTCCCTAATAAACGTGGAGTCACCGGGGTGATCTCGGCGTCGCTATCGCCTCATTCCTGGGGGGCGGAGGGACCCTTTTCTGAGACAACCCCGTCCTCCCTCGGAGCTGCCACCCCTCCGAGGGCGCGGGGACAGCAGTCCACACCCCGGGGGCCACCTTCGGGGACACAGTGGGCCTCTCCGTCTGCCCCTCCCAGGCCAGGCTGGGCCTCATCCGAGGAGCCCTGAGCCCACCATGAGGGGGGCCCTCCTGGTCCCTGCCCCAGAGCTCGAGGTGCTCAGACGATTAGAGTGGGTGCAGGGACGGCCCCGAGCTCCGGGCCCCCCGGCATGCAGCACCCCTAGGCCGCAGTCCCCCTCAGGCCTACCCAGCTCCCAGGTCAGATAGCGCCCAGTGCTCGGCGAGGCCCCATCCCCGCTCCTGCTCACAGGTGCAGACACAGCCAAGGCCGCGGGGGGCGAGGGTGTGGCGGCCACTGCACCTCTGACCGGCCCTCACTCTCCTCCTGCCAGAGCCCCCCAACCCCCTCCCCGGGCCCAGGCCAGCAGGGCTGAGGGCGTCTGAGAGCTCGGGCCGCAGGAGGCAGAGGACGGCAAGTGTCGGACGGAATCCCGGGTCCCGTGTGGCGTGGCCCCGTGGGAGGGTCCTGCTCCGCCCAGCCCCGCTGTGTCTGGCCCCCAGGGGCTCCCCAGAGCCCAGCCTGGCACCCACCGTGGGGACGGGCGGTGCAGGGCAGGGGGGTGGGAGGCCTGCAGGCCTGGGGCCTCCCAGCCAACCTGGGGGAGGGGCTGAGCAACAATTACTGGAAGGCAGAGCTGTTGTTTCCGTGTTGCGTAAATATTTGCAGAAACCCCAGGGAGCGGCTGGCTGGGGAGCAGGGCCCTCCAGGAGCCCCAGGCCAGGTGGGCGCAGCTCCGGACCGCTGCCCCGGGGCCGCCCTGGCCGCCTCAGCCGCCTGGCCCAGCCCCGGCTGCACACCCAGTGCCCCAGGGCTCTCCTCCTGGACGGCCATTGGCGGCCCTCTGGGGTGTGAAATGCAATTTACCTGAAATAAAGCCCAATTATGGAATTAGCTCATTAACGCCCCCGGTGGAGGCTGGGCCCGGCCGGCGGGCGCTCAATGCCCGACGGTGCCCGCGGTCGGGGAACAGATGGCGCCCCGGCCGCCTTGCCGCCGCATTCCTTCACTCTGCCCCCCGATAACTGACTTCGACAGCACACGGCCATCTGGTGCATGACACGTCCTGTGTGCCCCGGACAATGGCCCGGCAGACCTCTCCGGGGAAGGCCGTCGCCCGGGCAACCGCAGCCTGTGCAGCCCGGGCCCAGGGAGGGCCCCGCCCCCGCCCCTTTGTGGGCTCCGCGGCCGCCCTGAGTATTTGTCCGCCGTGCCCGGCCTTTGTCTCCAAATCGGGCTCTCCGCGAGCTCCCCGGTACCCAGCGGGCACCAGAGCATCTGCTGGGGGAGGGCGAGGGGCTGGGCAGCTGCCTGCTTCCTGGGCACCCACCTCCTCCGCCCGGCCCTCCCCCACGAGTGTGCCCTCCGGAACCCGGTGGGAAGATGGCACCTCACGGGCACTGGCTTGGCCAGGAGCCAGGAGAGGAAGGGCTGGCACCCCCCCCCCCGACCCTGCCCTGCCTGTGAGGGGGGAGCAGGACAGTGACCTCACGGGGAGGGGACGGGGTGGGGCAGGGAGAAGTGTGTAAACTCAGACCCGTGGGCACAGCGAGGGCCTCAGAAAGGAGTCCTGGCCCAGGGCACCGGGGTCTGGGCGCCCGCGCTTCCCTGCACCCCCGCCTGGCCTGCCCGACCCGCCCGCGCTCCTACCCCTTCTGCACCAGCCGCGCCCCCCCCCCCCCCCCCCCCCCCCCCGCTCGGGCCTTCCAGCCCAGGTCAGCGCAGTCGGCCACAGGCAGGGCCCGCGGGCGGCAAGTGAGCCTGGAGCAGGCGCCTCCGACCTCCCGGCCGCGGCCGCTTCTGCACCTGCTCCAGGGGGGCTGCCGGCTCCCGCAGACCAGGCCTGGGCGAGGCCGGAGACACTGGCCTGAGGAGGGTCTTCCCTAAAGGGGGTCCCGGCCAGTCATGGGGCCACCCCTGCCCCCTCCCAGCCAAGGCCCTGAGGCCAGAGCACCTGCCCAGACCATAGGCCAGTGATGGCGAACCTATGACACGCGTGTCAGAGGGGACACGCGAACTCATTTTTTTGGTTGATTTTTCTTTGTTAAATGGCATTTAAATCTATACAATAAATATCAAAAATGTAAGTCTTTGTTTTACTATGGTTGCAAATATCAAAAAATTTCTGTATGTGACACGGCCCCAGAGTGAAGTTAGGGTTTTTCAAAACGCTGACACGCCGAACTCAGAAGGTTCACCGTCACTGCCCTAGGCTCTAGCTGGGGGGGGGGGGGGCGGGGGGGGTAGGGGGGGGGCTCGCTGAGCCCTAGATTCCTCCCTTCGTGAACTCCCAGGCCTGATTCCCCCCAGCACCCAGTGAGTCACCGGCTCTGCCAGAGGGAAGCATGGGCCTCCCCACCCCCTCCCACCGCCGGCCCCCAGCCAGGAGGGAGGGGAGGGAGCTGGGCCAAGGCAGACCTGCCCAAGCCAGCGGGGACTCCCCCCTCTTGGCCATCGTCCCAGGGCCCGCCCTCCATGGCCCCCAGAAGGGTGGTCTGCCCCTCCTGCCCCGAGCCAGGCCCATGGCCCCGCTCTGTCCCAGCTTAGGGTTCTCTCTGGGCAGCGACCCCGCAGCCTGAGACGGCCAGTGGGGCCCAGGACGGGGAGGTCCACCGGTGCCCACTGTGGGCCTAGCACCCCAGCTGCTGCTTCCTGGGGGGCCCCGGTTATTGGGGGGAGGGTGTTGAGACCGAGTTGAAATCTTGTCTCCTGCCTGGCCAGCATGGCTCAGTGGTTGAGCATCGACCTATGAACCAGGAGATCAAAGTTCAATTACTGGTCAGGGCACAGGCCCGGGTTGTGGGCTCGATCCCCGGTGTGGGGCCTGCAGGAGGCGGCCGATCGTGATTCTCTGATCATTGATGTTTCTCTCTCTCCCTCTCCCTTCCTCTCTGAAGTCAATTAAAAAATATTTTTTATAAAAAGAAAAGAAATCGTGTCTCTTGGACGCCACAGTGGCTCTAGCTGCCAGGCCTCCCCCGCGTCCGGCCCCTCCACACCCGCCCGTGCCCTCTGGCCAGCGGCCAGCCCAGGAGGCGGTGACCTCCCAGCAGCATCACTGGGGCAGCAGCGGCAGCACGGGCGACGGGGTGCCTGCCGGTGCTCCTGGGCACAGACTGCCCGAGGGGAGGGACACGCTTCGAGCAGAGGGACCTCGGGCACGGGAGTCCTCCCCACCTGGTGCAAGTGGGTAAACTGAGGCCCGGGCAGGGCCGGCCGATGAGCACCTGTGTGGGGGGGAATTTGCATGGGAAACGCCTCCAAGAAGAAACAGGACTTCCGGTGGCAGCGAGGGAGAGGGGAAGCCGGCCGGAAGCCGGAGGGAGGGAGGGAGGGAGGGGGGAGGGAGGGGAAGGGGGGAGGAGGAGGGGGAGAGAGGGAGGGAGGGGGGCCGGCTGGAGCAGACTGGCCTTCCAGGGACCAGAGAGGCCACGTCCACGGAAAAGTGCAGAACATGCCCAGTGTGTGAGCACAGGGCCCGGCTCCCGCCCAGGCCAGCACGTCTTCCCTCTCGATGCCCCCTGGTCCCAGCCCGGCTGCCGCTGCCCCAGCAGCTCAGGACAACTCCAGGCTCCCACGGACCCTCAGGAACGGCCACAGCCTCTCCCAAGTCAGCCCACCACGCCTCACCGACTTCGGGTGTTTCTTAGCTGCCCCACAGCAAGGCCAGCACCCTCGGGGGGACCCTCGAGCCGCCACTCATACATACACACACACACATACACACATACACACACTCACACACACATTAATGCATATACACATACACACATGCACAGGGATGCACATACACACATACATACACACTCACACACATGCATACACATATGCACAGGCATACACATGCATACACATACACAGGTGCATGTACACACATGCATATACACATATGCACCCATGCACATATACACACATGCGCGTACACACCTGCACACATATACACTCACACATACATATATACACACGCGTGCACACATGCATTTATGCGCATGCATTCACATATATGCGCATACACACGTGCATGCCCACACACGTATACATGCACATGTACGCGCACACGCACACTTGAGGGAGGAATGGCCCCCAGGAACGTAGGGGT